GGAACCCAGGACTTTTTCTGTTACTGATTTAGTTTTTTGATTCTCGGACACCCTAATTATTCTATGAGTTTGAGAGGGGGCAGCCCTGGCTGAGTAGTCTCGCCATTCCGGCAAGCCCTCCACAGCGTGGGCGCAGCGGGTTCGAATTCCGAAACAATCCTGGATGCACCTTGTGATGTCTGTCTCTTACTTGAACTATCTTCTCAACAAATCGACAAAAGCCTATAAGTCGTACTTCCTGAAGAGTATACAGGTACATTTATTTACATTGCACTTCAGTTGTACAATGGGCTACTGGCGACGGTGTGGGAAACATCTCTGAGGATCTCCGAAAACAAAATTGCTGGGACCATTGAATTATATCTCTAATTTTCCTTCCCACGAAGATTGATAGCTATGTATTACGTTTCATTCTGTTCGTAAAATACAGTTTTTTGGTTTAAATTATTTTCTTTTCAAAAATAAAAGTTTTTTAAAAACAAAAACAATAATGAAAAATTATTAATAAAAAACAAAACCTAATGCATTTTTAATTTTTTTAATTTAATTAGATGGAATATTTTTTAAAAAAAACTTTAATTTAAAACTTAAATTCAAAATTTGTACTTTTTTAAAATTAAAAATTTAGGTTAAATAATTCAGTTAAGAAAATCTGTAACATGAAATTAAAATTGAAGTTTTAAATAAACGAGATATTTTAATTAAAATATAAAAATAATTTAATTTCTGTTCATTTTTTTCATTTAATTTTTTTTAAAAGCTTATGTTAGGAAATAATAATTTATAAAATGAATAAAACATATTAAATAGTTGTTAAACTTTTGGGAAAACAGAATTAGAGATAAAATTTAATCGTCCCATTTGGATTCCTGGTAAAAGGTCGACAGTCTTACCGTTACCACGAGTACTTAGCCACGAAAACTTATTAGCTGGAGAGTTTTTGATAGTTTAAAAGTAAATGAACTAAAACTTTAATGGAGCATATTTTACCCAAGACACAGATCTGATTGCTAATTTGTTTCCTATTCTAGATTTTCAACCATGAACGTTGGTCGGGAGAGCCAGGTTGGCAGGGNTACTAACTCAAATCATTGTTGATCTTATAGGATGCCGGACGATCCTTATATGGGGCTTCACCTTCCCCCTCCCCAGTAATTTAAATTTTAAACTGAAAACAATTAAAACTTAATGAAAAAAAAACTTTAAAATATGGCAAACAAATTAAAACATGTAATATTAATAAGTTGATGGTGAGTAATATTTCAGAAGCAAAAACCATTGCAACCAATTGCCCAATTAACTTCAATACTGTCAACTGACAAAATATTTTAGTTTCAATCAGACAAAAAGCAAATTATATAATAAAAACATATGTAACTGAAATTCGACAAATTAAATTAAGCAATTTAATTTTTTTGTCATATTGAATATTAATAAAAAAAACAAATGTAAAATGAAATAATTATGCTATCAATCATCAATAAACAATTTTGTCTGAATTGTTATTAAAAAATTTGGTGAAAACAATAAAATTAAAAATTATTTACAATAGATCTCTGAATATTCCCAAAATCTAGCTTTTAACATTTTTCATTAATTTTTCTTTTTGCATCATTTTGTGTACGAATGATTTGCACTTTTACGTATTATTTAAGATATATCTCAAACAAATCTGAACTGTTAATTAACATTTCTGGTTGAACAATTTTTTGAAAGTAAGTAAAAAACAATTAAAAGTAAGTAAAAGATATTCACGGCGATCCGTTTTATGTAACAAAGATATGAGTATTTTAAAGTAAACTCTTATCAATATATTTCACACATTCGATACAAATAAAAATCGCAACAAGCTTTAGCTGGTAAGTTTAGTTGTAACATTTCTGCAGGCAGCATTATTAAAAAATATTACTTTTTTACACACATGGTTTCTGAATTTTGAACTGTTTTGTGCCTTACTAACCAGAAGTCTTCTGTGATTGGTTATGTGTTATCATTCCACTCTCTTCTTATATTATATATACATATATATATTCTGTCCACACAAAAGTATACATTAATCTTCATTTCAAAAAGTAAGCATAATTAATGTACTTCCTACTATCGTCAAATCTGCAGCCGAGAGTTATATTTTTATCACCATAGAAAAATTTCTTATAGTTTGAGTTTTGATACTTTTTATTCAAAAATAGTTTATTAAGATGCTTTGAATTGAATACTTGCACTTCGAGAAGAAGACCTCTCATACCCACACATGTGACCTATCACACATCCAATTAGTTGAAATATAATTCTTTCTCGTCTTCCTCTTTTACTGTACTTGGATTTATTATTTGTTCATGTATTTTATTGCAACCGATTTTTGTTTTGTGTACCTGGCAACTTCTACGCATAGTTTATTTAGTTTGTTTATGGCTTCGTGCCTGTCTTTGTGTTAAGTCTCTGTATAAATATATGGTATTGGTCCTCGTTAAACTGTTCTACCGTGAAGTGCTCGACTTCGCGTGCAGGTCGTCGGGCTACCGAAGCGGGGGTGCCATCCCCTCTGCAGAGGATCAAAATTGTGATGGCATGTCTTCGGATCATCCTCAGGGATGTTTCCCAGACCGTCGCCAATAGCCCATTCTGCAGCTCTAGTACGACGTAAATGAACTACAACAACAACAACTGTATAAATATATAGTGAAAAGATTGAAATCTTTAGAAATTAAGGAGAAAAAAAACAATTTTTTAGCAATTAAATATCCACGTAAAATTGCGTTATTTTATAGCAATTTTCATTTTTTTAAAAATAAATATAATATATGGGGCAGATTTTTCCTCTTTTTACTTAAATAAAAAATGGGAAAATCGTAGAAACTCTTATATTCACATATTTATTAAGTTAGCATGAAATTGTAGATTCTGAATTTGAAATTAAGCAAAATTTAACACAATCAGTTTTTTTAAGATTCAAAATTTTAAATCATTTTAATAATAATTATTTCCAATTTGTTATCTATCTATTTTCGGACCTTTAGAGCCATTTTTTATCGATTTATACATTTCTTTTTCCGGAAGGGGAATAGCACAAAATGATCACGAAAGATCTCGGAAGGAAATTTAAGAAAACCCCCTTAAGTATACAGACTATCTACAAAAAACAGAGAAAAAGAGACAAAGCGAGGAAGAAAAAGGTAAAAGAGTAGCAGCAACTAAGAAGAAAAAAACAATTTCAGAGACGAAATCTGAATGCGAGGCAAAGAAAAGCATTATTATTACATTTTTATATTATTACTGTATCATTTGTTAATATGTTAATTTAAATAAATCTGCTTTCTAAATATTTCTGTTACGCGAACAACGAAAACTCTGAATATTTACTACTCAAGCAAGAATGTAGTTTAATTTTTTTAAAAAAAATACTTATTTAAACATAAGTGTCAAACATAAGTAAGCACAGTTGTTATAATTCCCGGAATTTTGAGTTTTTAATGAGGCAAGCTAATAGCCCATTGTGCAGCCCTAGTGCGACGTAAATAAAGTATTTGCCTACCTTTTCTGAATGAAGTTTCGATTCGTAGTAAAATCCAGATGTTAACGATTTTATCACGGCAAAATATAAGACCATGTCTAGTTCTTAAGTTAAAAGCTTTTGTGGCATTCCCTTGCTAAATGATAAACTTTTCGACTGGTAACTTCATTAGTTATCATTAGACCACCATTGCTGTTGTGGGTTTTTTTTAATCTCGATTTTAAATTTCTCTGCTTTCAAAACGCCGATGTTATTCACTGACTCTTGTAGAAAGAACCCATGACTTTTTTCTGTTACTGATCTAGTTTTTTAATTCTCAGCCACCCTAACAATTGCAGCGAGGTATATCGATACCTATTATTCTATGGACTTGAGAGGGGGCAGTTCTGGCTGAGTAGTCTCGCCATTCTGGCAAGTTCTCTACAGATTGGGCATAGCGGGATCGAATTCCGAAACAATCCTGGATGCGTCTTTGTGATGTCTTTCTCTTACTTGAACTATCTGCTCTACAAATTGACGAAAGCTTATAAGTCGTACTTCCTGAAGAGCATACAGGTACATTTATTTACATTGCACTACAGTTGTACAATGGGCTATTGGCGACGGTGTAGGAAACATCTCTGAGGATGATCCGGAGAATGCCCCTCACCGAACTCATGACCGCTCGGACATGGGTCCAATGTCCTACCATCCAAGCTATTCCGGCCTCCTGAAGAGCATACAAGCCAGAATATAACAATAAATAAATACATGCCTGTGTTCTCAATTATTTGCCATTAAGTTATATTGCACTAGACATCAGATTAAAAAAAATATATATGTATATACACAGAGGGGAATCCAACGCCTTCACACTTCGAAATGTTTAGCAGATTGACACTATTTTGTTGCCATAAAGACCCCAATTATTTATTCATCTGTAAGTGTATATGTGCTTGATGCAAAGTCATATGTCTTGTGATCAGAAAATACTAAATAAGTAAGTACAGCCCAAAGATATATCTAGCTTACGGCAAACAACAAACATTCACAACGTTTGGCGGAATTGTTCACAGCGTTATCAGAATGTAGGTAGGTACTTTATTTACGTCGCACTAGAGCTGCACAATGAGCTATTGGCGACGGTCTGATAAAGCATCCCTGAAGATCATCCGAAGACGTGCCTTCGTAATTTTGATCCTCTGCAGAGGGGATGGCTCCCCTGCTTTGGTAGGCTGACGAACTGCGAGCGAAGTTGAGCACTTTACAGTAGAACAGTTTTAGGAGGACCGATACCGTGCATCCTCGATCCTTTCGCAAACTGATCAAAGTGGTCACCCACCCGCTTACTGACCGCAGCCAGTGATGATTGACTTTGGTGGTTTACTGGAAGCCGTGTCTTTACGATCAGGCCACTGCGGGATTACTAAATAAGGAAGTAGAGCTCAAAGATATAAAAGGACAATACCTAAACACATAAAATTTCGCTAATTAAACAAAAACAAGTAGCCGCAAGTGGTCTCACACAAATTTTTTAAAAACCTATATAAAAGCGCACGCAATCACTTTTTCTTCGCCCACGAGTGTTGCAATTATTGAATAATATGCCTTTCCTATAGAAGTTTGTGGGCCCTAAAAATTATCAAGTTTTATCGTATAAGGTAAGTTTACTATCATTACAAGTTACATCTAGTATTTTCGTTTTAAATTAGCAGGTCAAGTTTTCAAAATTTCTACTGAACTATATATTTATAAATTGGTTTTGAAGTTTAATATATTTCAGTTTACTCTTTTAGGCGTTAAACGAGTATAAAATGAGTACTTTAATCACAATAAAGTGTTGCACTTGTTCTTTTTCAGCTATTTTGACTTTATTTTCATAAAATAAATTAACCTAATTTTTTTACTACACGCTAAATAACTTATCTTAATATTATCCTTATAATCCTTATATGTACATCATATACAGAATTTAATTCGAAGAAATTAGCGGTACTTGATTTTAGATTCGAGAAAAAGCATTTAAAATATGATATCTGTTTACAAAAATTTATGTTTAAAATATGTCAAGTATTCATAACATTCTGTAATTTATACCAAAAAAATTGCCTAAATTCGAAAAAGAAAAATACACTTATTTCTTATTTTCAAGCTCTTGCCTTTTATATAGACTGGTTAAAGTATTTATTTTGAAAAACAATTTTTTGAAAAACTGTTTAAAATTAATTTTCGACACCTAGGTTTTTACTTTTTTAAAAAACCTGATTTTTTTTTCTTAAAATTGATCCTAATTAATATTTTATAATACTTAATGAATTACTTTTTGCAATATTTTTACAATACTATTTTGTATTTACTTTCTCTTTGCTTTTTACTTTATGAAAACAAATTAACGTATTTTTAAAAATTTACCTTCGCTTTCTCGCATCTGCTGTAACAGTAGTTAGAAAATAAGTTTTCTAAATCTAATTTTTAGTCAGTGACCAGCAACAATTAGTACCATATGTAGCACATACGAACTTGCAAAACTTAAGGCATCTTCGGAAGCAAACGTCTATCCAGGAAAGTATCCAGGTTTTTCTTTATTAAAGAAAATACAGGAATTTTTAAATTATTTTAATAACTTCTTAAAACCCAGCCTTCAATATAGTTTACAACTTTTTAATGCAATTTTATTACGGAAAATATTCCAAGAACTTTTTTTTTCTTTATGATTTTATGAAGCAATCGTTTATGTAAAAATATATTAGAATTTACAGTTGTTGGTAGAAAATTTTGTTACCTTTAGTACAATTTTAGGACGCATATTATTAGTCAAGTTGAGTTCGTTTCGAGACTAGAATGTGAAGAAATACACTATACAAATATCCTAAAATTTCCAAAACGCGCTAAAAATTTGAGATTTATTTTTAATTTTAATGCACTTATGAGTTTATTTACCTCTAAACTTCATATTTCTAACTAAAAATCTAATTTGTCATTACTTTTTATCTCTGTTCTCGGGTTGTTTATTTTGCGTTATGTGTCGTTTAAATTCAAGTAATTAGTCTTACTAAAACAATAACGTTATGGGGACATTTCACGTCAATCTATTTACATATTGCTCAAATTATCTAGAAAAAACAATTTTTGAAGTTCAGGTTTTTGGCAATAATTCTCGTGGAATTGATAGAGCGAGGTCAACAAGTGAGTTTTGACAAAAAAAAAAAAAACTCCTTCGAAGATTATAATCTGAACAAATTTGTATTTATTTTTCTAATACTCTACTGAAAATTCTGATTTTTCTTTTCATACAAATTTACGTAGTTTTAGACTATTTATAACTCCATTCTGGGCAGTTCAAAATACTGCTCTCCTTTTATGATTTAAGTATCTGTAATTTTAGTTTTTTTAAAAGTAACGAAGCTATATCTTAATGATATTTCTTTCAGATCACATGTCAATGATTACTGGAGTTTTGTTGGAAATAGAATTTAACTGGAGATGCGACTACAATAAGGAGGGTGAAAACTGTGTTTGTAAGGAGAAATTCGTCTGGCAAGGAGACTACAATAATAAAAGAAAGAAACTCTTGCTGGAGCTGTAAAAGTACATGAAGAAAACAAAGGTAAGCATTTTTTCTCCTTAACTTACATTGTTTTAACCCTTACCAGTGTAATATTCTAAAGCTATTTTTGCTAGTTTGTAAAATTAGATTTGTCACTGTAATACTTTGAAAATCTTGATTTCAAATGAAATGTAGGAGTATATTAATTTACGCTAAATTGTTTAATGTAAAAGAAATATATATAAATAAGAGAGTCAATAATCAGAGTAAAAATGTTGTTTGAAATCATCTTAGAGGTTTTAGTTTATTTTTAACACTTTTAAACTTAACACACAGAGTACCGAATATTGAAAGCTTAATTGCAATTTTTTTAAAACTTAATCTCTTGTAAAATTTTCTTTCTTGATACTCAAAATGCAATGCCGCTGTATTCTATCGTGAATATTAAGATAGTCTCCTTAATGTTAGGAAAGTGCGGTAGTTAAATTTGCTTCAATTGCAGAAAGTTCACTTCATTCATCTGAGACTTGTAAAATATAAGTGAAATTTTTTCCTTCACGCAGAATTTCCAAGACTTCCCAAATTATTTTTGAAATTCTAAAATTTTACGAAACTGGTTAATCATAGATGCATACTATTTTAAAGTAAACAAATAAATTTAAGTTTATTTTCAAGCTCAAAAGGTATGTATTATGCATATGAGTATTTAAATCTTAAGTTAAAGATGGAAACTGTTAAACTGAAAGATTTTTCTTAAGTCATTTAACGTTTTAGAGCTAAGAGCTAGTCTATTCTCTGAAAATACTTTTATAAAAAAATTCTCAATTATCGCGCTATGACTTTACGACCAGGACTTATAAGACTTAATATCTTAGTACTCAGTTTTAAATATTTTAGCTTTTTATTGTAAGTGAGGATTGAATCTTAATCACTTTCCGAATAGTTAGAAATATCAAATCTCTAATGAAACTCCGTGTACAGTAATAAAAGTTTAAAATTTTCTGACTACTGAACAAAAATTTACAGCCAAATTTTATAGCCATCAACTTTTTAATTAGATTTTTGACTCTTTACAACAATAAAGTGAAAATTATTTTTCTGACCATCAAATAGAAATTAAAAGGGAACTTAGTCAGTCTAAATTTGCCATCTTTTCAGCAAACTATTCTGCTCAAATATTAGATTTGAGCTGGAGAATTTCCAAAGATTCCGTCAATGTACGACTTATTGGAGACCTCTAATACCACGTTTTTAGTTTTAGATCTGACTTTACATTTTTCTTTTAGTCTGCTTGAAAAAGTTATTAAAATTTTTATTTTTCAAAATTAGTTCTTAAAGTGAGCGTATATTGTAGTTCATAATGCTCAAAATGTTGAAATATCTAGAAAACTCTAAAATTTATCGATTTATCAAGTTTCACATTGATTTAATTCACGAGGTAATCTGGATTTTTATTCGTAATAAATTTAAATTTTATTTAGGGAATACCTGGGTACAATTTTAATTTTCAAAATTCTCTTTACTTAGCCTATAAACATTTATGAATTTGAATTCCAATAAATTTAGTTGCATTATCTCATTAAATATAAACACCCATTAATTACTTAATAAAAGAATGAAACTAATTTACAAATTCAGAAAAAGACAAAATAAATTACATTTAAATCTATAAATCTGTCGCTAATAAGTTAAAATAAATAATGCGGGCGTCTTTTAAATAAAATCAATCAAATGAACAAGTTCTGCAGATGAATGACAACAAATATAAAACTTTAATCTTTTAATAACTAATAATTTAGCATCAAAAACGGATTCTAAAAATTATAATTCTAAATTACAACAAAAAAGAACAAAAAAACTATCTCAGGTTGCCACGCAACCTAAAGTGAAATTTTAAAACAATTAAATCTAAAGAAAATTAAAGGTGGCGCTTCTGTCAAATATACATACTTTAATGACTTAAAATCTTAAACAAAATCAAAATAGAAAAGGGCTTAAAGCAGCTAAATCCAAATTTGTTTTATTTTAATTTAAAAAATCTGAAACAACTCTTGCAGAAAACAAAAACCCTAAAAATTTTAAAGATGTGTGTTAGCAGGACAATACTTCATCAGGGGATACACTGCCTGCTAACACACACAGGAGCCTTTCTGCTGTCAGTAGTGATACCAAAAACTGACAGTGCCTCCAGGTCCCATAATGGAGAGTCAAATAAGAAAAAGCTATTAGAAAAATTTAAATGTGAATGCCAAGATAAATAAATGACAATCACAAAAGTAACGTCTTATCAATCACTTAAAAGTACACAAAATAAGACATAAGAAATGCCCACAAATAAGATAAAGTTAGAATAGCCACATCAAAATAACACATAAATTGCCAAATTATTAAGAAAACTTTAGAAATAAATTAAGTGCTGACCTCTTTTTGAAAATCTTGAAAAAAATAAACCAAAACATTCAATGAGTAAAAATTTTTTAAAGGTGCTGGCATCTGGAACATAAAATCCTAAATTTCACCGCATAGGCCTACTTATGCGGCCTTCAATATCGGCCGAATTATTTGAAAGTCTTTAAAATATTTTGAATCAAAACATCATAATTATAGAAATTAAAAGGAAAATTATTCTCTTATGCAATCCTGAAATTTCAAATAGCGGAAAGAAAATCTGTTTTATTATTACAAATTTAAATCTAATAATTTGACCAATCAAAATATTCTTAAAAATCTTAAAGTAAAGGTTGGAATTAAAATAAGTAGAACTAATAACATTAAACTTAATCTCTTCTATCGTGTAATCCAATGAAAATTTTCTGATTATGAAGTTTGATATCAAGATCTAACAAAATAAGCGCAGTTTTCATCTGAAGTAGTCTTAATGAAATTTAGTTCTTTAGGATAAATATCTTTTTAATTAAATCAAAATCATTACAATCAAAAGTAATTAAATCATCAATAAATCCAACTCATAAATTATGTTGTAAAAATTTTTGTTCATAAAAATGTAGGAAAATATTAGCAAATGCACTTGAATAACTATTCCCTATTGAAATACCTTTAATTTGTCTGTAAAAACAGAAACCATTCAAGATAATTTTCAAAAATGTTTATTACATAAATTTATCTCGTCATCCTTATTAATATCCTCATTATTCAAATATTTTTCAAATTTCCAAGCAAATATTCCTTAAATTGTGTGGTATAATCGTGAAAAGACTTTCAAAATCACATGCAAGAACAGTATTAATATTTTAATTCAAATATTTAACGTCTTGGTTGTTAATAATAAAATGCTTACCATTTGAAATAATCTTATTTAAAATGCTTAAATAATTAAAACTTTTTACCATAAGCAGAATTATAACAGCCAGTACTGCAAGTTACAAATCTGAATTTAACCGAAGTTTTGTGGAATTGAATTGTAGGAAATAAATAAAGATAATTAATGCTATTTATTTTTAAACCTATTTTCTTTGAAAAAGCTGTTTGATTATCAATTTCTTTTTAGAATTATAAATTTTGACAAGTATTATAGTTAACGTATTCTTTACTCATTAAATGTCTAAAAAATTTTTCAAATAAAGCAAAAATTATTAGAAGCTCTGTCAACAGCACATATAATAAAATATTTTAATACCTTAATAGATTGAATAATATCAGAATTAAAATTAAAACCCTGGTAGTTTATATTATTCAAAATTTAATTTAAAATCATTTAAAACAAAATTTCCATAAACTAAATCCCTCTATCGGCCAATTAAATATTCTTGAGCATTTTGCAATAAAGCAATCTAAATCCATACTGATTGAAGCAAGAATACAATTTAAGTGATATTTTTTCCTTGGTTTAAACTTAGTCCAAAGTCCCATGAGAAATTTAAAATCTTTATTTCTGATTAGGTTAAGATCACCTGTGACAATGTGCTTAAACTCGTTATTAACAAAATTCTTTAAAATGCTGCAGCTCACATAAACAAATCCCATTTAAATTTTTACTACAGAAATAGCTACAAATTCTCTTCTATAAAGTCTTACAATATCTAAAACAAACTCCGATTTTGTCTTTAATTGGGGAAACAATAAGGTTATCAACAGTCATAGGTAGTAAACCTCTTTCAAAATCTTTGTCAAGAAAATTAATAACTAAATTATTTTTAATTTCAGAAATATTTAAAAAATAAAGTTGTTGACTGCAATTTTAAATTTAATAAGATCTCATACTATGCCATTTAAACTCGGGTGTAGAAACGTTCTTTAATCATCCATTTCAACACTAAATTTTTATTACTAAAAATGAAACTCCTAATCTTTTTAATGTTAAATTCATTGACATCCAATAAACACGAAATTTTAAAAATAACCAGATTACATTTATTTTTATCTTTACTTTTTCTTTTATCCCTGCATTCCCTCAATTTACTTGAAAAATGATTATTAAAAGTGTTCAATTTATTATAGATGAAAAATATAATTTTAAATCCAGGTTACCTTCTCCATTTAATTTACTTAAGCCCATAGGGGTTTAAAGTTTTTAATTTACAAATAAAATATTTTCACATAATCTAATCTTAAGTTTAAATCATCACTATTTTTAAGAATAAAAATATTAATATATTTAAAAGAATGTTTTTGAAAATTAAAAATTTTAATATCAGTTATTGTGTTTATGAAAGTTTTGACTGATCTAAGATTAAGTCTATTTAAACTCGGTACCTATTTGCCCAATATATTTAAGTGAACACGTTTTATATTCTATAAGCTATTCTATAAGCATACTATATAAGATTGCTTTTTCTTATTTGACTTTCCATTATGGGGGCCCTCGGGGCACTGTCAGTACTAGGTTTCACCACTAACAGAAAGGCTCTTTTATGTTAGCAGGCAATGTGTCCCCGGATGAACTACTGTCCTGCTCATACACATGTCTTAATTTTTATGGTTTTGTTTTCTGCAGGAGTTGTTTTTCTGACTTTTTAAACACTATTTTTAAACTTAGTGAAATTCAATTTTTTTTTCCGATTGGAACTATGAAACTTTATGTTAATGTACAGATTGACTCTTGTAATAGTGTTTTTAAAACACTCACATTTAAGTTTTATAAAATTTAATAAGTTTGTTAGCAAAAATCTCTTCGTATTACTTAAAAAATTTAGTTTTTGATAAGAGTTTTGTATGATAAAAACCAGTACTTTCATCATGTCTTACAACGCTCGTATGAAATCTAAACCATGGGATAAAAATATTTTAAACTAGAGTCATGATGGCTCAGAGGATAGAGCGTTTGCCTTCGAATGAGGTGTTCTGTATTCGAATTCCAGCGATAGCTGGTCGATACGAATTCCGCACCCAGCTCGCACCGACCAAAGTGCTGTGCGTTCTTAGGGGTTACATCCATTGACTTCAAAATGTTGAAAGTATACATGATGTTTTTAAAACTATTTTAATTTTAGTCAGTGGCATCTCATCCCTAGCAACAATTTTATCTTGGCCCCAGTTGGGCTCAAAATAGGCTCAATATGAGTCATATAAGAACATGCACTGAGGGATCAACATTGGAATGTCTAGATTTCTTAATACTTATGTTGACCGAATAATGACTGTAAAATATCGGGTGAATTTGACAACTCTATATAGGGCCGATATGGGCTGTAAAATATCCTTTGAATCGGACAATTTTGTATAGGGCCAATATGAGAAAAATAACTGTATTGTGCCAAGATTCGTATTGCCCCGTATTGTGCCAAGATTCGTGAATATTGGTCCAAATGATAGACAGTCATTTTGCTGATAGGGATGATGTGGAAAGGCCACCTGTGTTGGCGTCATAAACACAAGATAGATGAAGAAATTTAGCATCAATCAAAATGAATCCTATATAGAATTATGTGTTAAAACAAATTTACCAATTATGAAGGATGAGGCCGGGATACTCCGGTTGGTAGGGCACTAAGCCCTAATCCGTGGGTTCGATCCCAGCCGGCCGAAGACTCCCCGTGTAGTAAATGATGACTGATGCACGTTAAATCTGTCGAGTCTCAAAGTCCTCCATGTTCCCCTAACAGATCATTACCTCTGGGATACTGATCCAGTAGTTTCCTTATCTTTTGGATTGGATTCAAAATTAAAAAGCAATTAGTAGTTGTAAGCCCAGAGTTGAGCATTAGTAGTCGTAAACCCAAAATTGGGTCTCGCTGTTCAACGACAGATATAAAATAAAATTATGAAGGATAGAACTATTTTAAGCAAATGGCTCCCAAAAGTGTTCGTTAATGAAGGTAGCTACATAGAGGTGGTCTTTTCTGGAGGGTTTCACTTTATAAATTTTGATACTGAACAATAAATACTTTGTGTAAAGTAGTGTATAAAAACATTTTTGGTGTAATGCAACACCATCCGTATGATGTTTCACTGCACCACTTATCTGTAAAATAGTTTCAATCATTGTTGGTGTTGCAATACATTAAAGTTTTTACAGTGTATTGAACACAAAAATTAACCATTTTTCTGTTACATACATTAGAAAGTGACGAATATTTTTGTTTTCAGAATTGCTGCTAGAAATGGCCGCCGTCACTGATTGAATATTCCTTCTAAGACTTCATGGCCAACTACAGTTATCTGCTATAGCACCTGTCTCAATTGAAACTGTTCCATCCAGGTCTCTTTGTTATCTTTTATTGACTAGTTTTCCTGTAATTTCCATGCTTTTCACAAATTTGATTGTTGTAAGATGTCAATTTTCTGATACGGGTATTTTAGATATCAATTTCTATTTTGCTTTTGAAAATCTAAATTAACTTTTAAAAACTTAAGCTAAGTAACATTCAGTTAAGAAAAATCACATTTTGGCTTTAATATTCGAGTAGCTTTTGAATTAATATAACATTCAGAAAAGTAATCTTCATTATAAAGATTTTTTTAAGTCAAATTTTCGAATTTATTATAATTGCGAACAAAATAACATTGTTTAATGAACGTTTCTGCTAAATGAAACTCTTGAGAAATCAGTTATCTGTTTCGTCTTCAGGCACACAGCATCCTCAACAGTAGAATATTCACGCTGTTGAATTGTATAATTCTATATTTATAAACAAATACCGCCCTGATTTTAAGAAGTAATTTTATCCGGGTCTCGTTCCCGTATTGAAAAAACATTAATTTAAAAACTTATGCACCGAAAGTTTTAGAATGTTTAACGTGCATTCTGATGAAAAAGTGTTCAGATTCTAACATTTTTTTTCTTTCTTTTGTGACGTGTAATTTTGGCCTATAGTAGCGAAAACTAAAGTTTTCTTTTTTCAGTGATCTCGTTTTTCTGAAGTTTAATAACGACTTGCCTCAAATTTCGATTTAGTTTTAAGTCTTTTATTTTAGGTTTTCTCTATTTTAAAGTATAAAAAATGAAACTAAAGGCTTAGATATTTAAAAATAAACTAGTGATCAAAATGATCAAATCGAGAACTACCTAGCTGTGTAGTATATTTTTGCATAATTTAATTACAGAAAACGTTAAAATAAAATAGAACAATTATAATTTAGTACAATAACTTGGAATTGAAAATTATCTTCAGCACTTCAAGTTTTTTCAAAAATTACAAAATTTATATATTGTGCACAAATAGTTTGCACAATTAAAATTTTAAACTGCTAGTTTTTATTTCGAAGAAAAGGGAATTAAAACAAAACTTTAAAATTTTATATCGTAATCTCGAAAACTCTAATTAAATAATTTATGAATATGTTTTGCGCTAGTTCAATCGGTTTTGCACAACTTTTGGCTTTCAGCTAAAAATTTAAAAATCCATGTGCAAAAGTTTCCATTTATTTGGTTTTGCCTTCTTTAATTTGTGGAGTACTGCTTTGTTGTAAATAGTAAATGTCATACGGAGCCAAACGAACCGTCATTCCAAATGGATGCTAGTTTTGCCACACAAATAATTCTATACAAAGAATTAATCCACTGAAATCTGGATGAATAAAATCATTTCAAAATACTCAATTTACATGTTTCACTAATTTATTGCTCAGAATTACTTACAGATTAAAATTGAACTTAGACAGAACAAGGATACATACACATTATAGTGTACTTATTATAAATAAGTTTTAGCAATTTAATGGATTTAAATTGAAAGTTTTCATTTCTTAAATACAGAATTAGTATACTTAGGCGTTTAATATAATAAAAAATCTAGTTCACAAAACAAGATATAAAGCTAAATATTAAACATATTCAGGAAACAGAGGAAGTTAATAACATGTAATAAATAAACATGTTTACTGTTCTACATACTGAAACTTGCAATTAAAATATCAATATTAAAATTAATGTACATAGACTTGGTAAAGTTGACGTCTAAAACTAAAGTTTGAATAAAAATATAAATCGCTTTTAGTTTAATGTAACGTTCGGGATAGATAATTTAAAACCATTTTAGAAAATACGCGTTAAAAGTAGAATGTCCAAGTTTCTTAAATTTTTACGAATCTTGAGAAACATTTTTATCAAAGTACTTAAATGCTATTTCATATTTTTAAATATTGATGATATTTAAATTTTTTTAATCTTGACAAATTTTCGTAAGTTTGTAGAAATTTGAGTCTTATTTTTGCAACTGGAGTAGCAAATAATACCTAATTTACTAATCAGCTAACTTACCTTAACATTACCCTAACACTAACTTGCTGCTTCAGTAGTGAAATAAGCTCTTTATATTCGTTTAGAACATAATCATTCAGAAATAGGTGAATTAGATTTTTCAGAATAAGAGCCGTAGTTAGTTTTTACAAATTTTGAGATTTAATAATCACTCTTGAAAAATTTTAACCATTACAATACATTAGGCTTATTGAAAGTCAAATAGTATGTAGAACAGTCTGTTTATTTTAACGAATACGTTATGAATTCTTTCAAATACCTAACAGTTTAAGGTTACAAAATCAACTTTTTTTTTTTAGAAGCGAATAAAATTAATAAAACAAATAATAAAACAAATCATACTCTATAAAGAAACAAATACTTAATATCTTACGAAATAATTTATTACTTTATTGAGAAAGTTCAGTGTTATACTTTGTACCGTTCCTGGGGACTTTCAAATTTTACCTTTGCAATTTAAATATTTTGAGTATTTATAATAAACTTCTCTTAGTTTCTTCAGTTAGTTTTGCGCTAGAAACAGAGGTAAAAGATAACTTTATTCATAGAACCATGTTTTATCTTTGTCTTAGTAGCTTTAAAAATTTTTCTGATAAAATCTTAACCTTTAAGAGATAGTCTGAACAAAATGTAAACCAAATATTTACAAAGCAACAGCAGTTATCCAAAATACCAGTATAGTTGTTTACGAAGACAGTGCACCTTTTCTTGACTCACTTCCCCCCATTCAATACAATGTTATCCTGTATTACACCAGTTTTCTTAAACAGAGTATTTTAATTTAGATATTGCCTTCTCCTGTTTTTTTTTTAAATAAAACTTATGTGTGTTGGCAGGACAGCAGTTAATCAGGCGACTCACTGCCTGTCGACACACAGGAGCCTTTCTGTTGTCAGTCGAAAAACCAAAACTGACAAGTTCCCCGAGGGCCCATAATGGATAAACAAATAAGAGAAAATCATAAAAAATTGAAAAGTACACAAAAATAATGAACTAGCAAACATTACTTAAAAGTGCATAGTAAGACTTAAAAATGATACGCCCACTTATATAAAAAAAAAAAGCTGCAGTCACAGTTAATGTAACCAAATCAAAATAAAATATAAATTGCCAAATCAGTTAGAAAATATTATAAATAAATCAAGTGCTAACCCCATTTGAAAATCTTTAAAACTGAAGCCCAAAGATATTCAGTGAACAAAATATTTTTTTTAAAGTGCTACCAACTGCTTTGGGAAAAATCTTACATTTCTTCGCATAGACCTATTTATGCGGGCTTCAATATCGGCTGAACTATTTGAACGTTTTCAAAATATTTTGAATTAAACAACATAATTATAGTAATTAATAGGAAGAAAATTATTCTGTAAGGTAATCCTGAAAGTCCCTATAGGTGAAAGAAAATCTGTTTAATTATTACAAATAAATTTGAACTTAAGAATCTGACTAATCACAATATTCTTAAAAATCTTAAAGTAAAGGTTGGTATTAAAATGTGTTAAACTAATAACATTAAACTTAAAATCCCTTTTATCATATAATCCAATTAAAATTTTATTTTTAAGAGGTTTAATATCAAAATCTTAAAATATGCGCAATTATCTTCTGAATTAGTATCATTTAATATCATTAATTAAATCAAAATCATTAAAATCAAAAAATTAAATCAGCAATAAATACAAACTAAATCAAGTTCTGTTGTAAAACTTTCATAACACAAGAAAATATTAGCGAAAGCTCTTGAATGACAATTCCCTATTGAAATACCTTTAATTTGTCTGTAAAAACAAATACTATTAAAAAAGATAATTTTCGAAACTATTTACATTACATAAATCTATCCAAATATAATGTACTTATTATAAATAAGTTTTAATAATTTAAAGGATTTAAATTAAAAATTTTCAATTCATAAATACAGAATTACTATACTTAAACGGTTAATATACGATTTAAAAATCTAGTTTACGAAACAAGATATGAAGCTAAATATTAAACACTCACGAAACAGAGGGAGTTAATTAAGTAAACATGTTTACTGTTCTACATACTGAAAGTTGCAATTAAAATATCTAGATAAAATTAATATATGTATAGACTTGGTAAAGTTGACGTCAATAATAAAATTTCAATAAAAATATAAATTGCTTCTAGATTAATGTAAAATTTAGGATACACAATTTAAAACCATTTTAGAAAATACGCGTTAAAAGTAGAAACTGTCAGTTTCTTAAATTTTTACGAATTGTGAGAATTTTTTTATCAAAGTACTTAAATGCTATTTTATTTTTTTAAAGATTGATATTTAAATTTTTTAATCTTGACAAACTTTCCTAAGTTTGTAGAAAGTTGAGTCTTATTTTTGCAACTGGAGTAGCAAATACTAATCTAAATACTAATCTACCTAATTTACTAATCACTTAACTTACCTTAACATTACTCTAACACTAACTTGCTGCTTCAGTAGTGAAATAAGCTCTTTATATTCGTTTAGAACATAATCATTTAGAAATAGGTGAATTAGATTTTTCAGAATAAGAGCATATTATTAGAAATTTTGAGATTTAATAATCACTTTTGAAAACTTTTAACCATTACAATACATCAGACTTATTGAAAGTCAAATAGTATGTAGAACAGTCAGTTTATTTTAAGGAATACATTATTAATTCTTTCAAATATCTAATAGTTTAAAGTTACAAAATCTAAATTTTTTTAGAAACGGTGAATTTTTAGTAAAACACATCATACTCTATAAAGAAATAAATACTTAATATCTTACGAAATAATTTATTACTTTATTGTGAAAGTTCAGTGTTATAATTTGTACCGTTCCTGGGGACTTTCAAACTTTACCTTTTGCAATTTAAATATTTTGAGTATTTATAATAAACTTATCTTAGTCTCTTTAGTTAATTTTGCGCTAGAAATAGAGTTAAAAGAAAACTTTATTCTTAGAATCATGTTTTATCTTAATAACTTTAAACATATTTACTGATAGAATCTTAAATCTTAACATTTAAGAGGTAGTCAAAACAAAATGTGATCCAAATATTTACAAAGCAACAGCAGTTATCCAAAATACCAATATAGTTGTTTACGAAGACAGTGCACCTTTTCTTAACTCACTTCCCCCCATTCAATACAATGTTATTCTGTAATACACCAGTTTTCGCTGTGTTAGATGATGCAATCCAGTAGAAACTACAACACATTTATTAATCAAAATATTTATGTAAGTCTTACTTTTGCAGGTCTTTTAATTTTACTAAAATATTAGTGTCCATTCCTAAGCGGAAAAAAAGTGTAGATTCCTAATAAACTAAAGTGTTAATGAGTTCTAAAAATGGTTTTACGAAAGCAAATTATTTAAGAGGCTGAATAAATCAATTAGAAAGCAGCATATTATGCAATTTAAACTAGAATAAAAGTTCCACACCAGTCTATTAGCTGTCAGGGTTGTTAGCCAAAATTTATGTGCTGCCATCTTGCCCTCCTAGTTCAAATCTTTTCACCCTTATTTGAAGTTTTTCGACTGTCCCTTATGGAAGGCTTGCAATTTTTCGGT